AAGCTCAAGGATAAGAATGCCGCGTTGAGGACGCCCGAAAATGATCTGCCACTCAAGGCTAAGGCCCGATTGTGTGCGCAGGGTCAGCACGACCCCGACGCGAAGCTTGGCACGGTCAAGACGGACGCTCCCACGGTACAGCGGTCTGGGTTCCATGATTTTCTGCAGTTGGCAACTCACCTGGGGTGGCTACCCCAAATGGCCATCGGTGACATCTCGAGTGCGTTCCTGCATGGCGAGCCACGCAAGGGGCAGGAACCATAATACATGCGGCAACCACGGGGTGGATTGCCTGGATTTGAACCAGGACAGCTGCTTCAGGTAGAAAAGGGCATCTACGGGCTGCCCGACGCACCGCGGGCGTGGTTTAACACGTTCCGCAAGGCGATGGTCGAGGAAATGGGGTGGAAGCAGCTGCAGCTCGATGTAACCTTCTTCTGTTTCTATAGCGGCGACCGCTTGGCAGGTATGCTTATCGTGCACGTCGACGACTGCATGTTGGCACACGACGGCAGTGCCGAGATGCGTGCCAAGGAGGTCAGGCTGCGCGAACGTTTTCCGTTTGGGTCCTGGACAGTGGTCGCGCAGCAGGCCGAGGGCGATGTGCACACCGGTCGTCGAATAAGGGTGGACGGTTCCTGCGTCGAGGTGGAGATGCCAGAGTTTGTCGAGGGGAGACTGGAGGAGGTGAAGGTCGACAGTCAGGCAAAGGGCGAGGACCCTGTGAGCCCCCTCGCGAAAGCGGAGTTTCAGTCAGCGACGGGGTCGCTCCATTGGCTGGCGAGCCAGTACCGTTTCGACAAAGCTTACGAGACAAACCGTTTCCAGAAACTGCAAAGGGCACCCACCTGGTCTGACGCAAGGGAATTGAACAAATGTATCCGAGACGTGAAAGCCAGTGGGGGCGTGCGGCTTCGAATCGTTCCCATCAAAGGGAGGATGGGCATTGGTTGTTGGCGCGATTCGTCTCTGCATGGGAACGTCGGCGAGCTAGTTGAGGGAGACGAAGACCTCAAGCGGTTCGATCGCCATAAGGTGAGGTCGCAGGCTGGCGTGGCGGTGGCAGCCATCGACCACGATTGCTTGGAGCAGGACGAGCTGCCAATATCCATACTGGATTGGCGGAGCCGTGCCAGCCACAGGGTGGTAACGTCGACGTTCTCGGCAGAGACGGCGGCGTGCTTAGAAGGCCATGGCATGGCCTATTATATGCGGGCGTTGCTGTGTGAGGCAACCTACGGTTGGAGCAACACTCCCGTCGTGGAGTTCGGTGAAGATGAGATGCCTCTCACGTTATTCACTGACTGTCGTAGTTTGTACGACCGCGTGAAAGTCGAAGGGAACATCCCCGACGACCGACACGATGCCGTGTGGCTCGCTGCGCTAAAATCGTTGGTCTCGTGTGGGCCGCAACGGGATGAAGAAAAGGCGGGTCTCAGGTGGCCCCCGAGCAGGCGGATGATTTCGGACGGGCTCACAAAGGGGGGATTGAGCGAACGGGTTAGGGAATTTATGGAACAAAATCGTACGCGGGTCCATGAGGAGAGTGCTCAGGCAATCCGGAGGAGTCAAGGAGCGAAACGCCCCCCGGAGGGGGTCTCACTTCAAAATTGGCGTCCGTTTGCATGCCCTTCTGGTCCGAGCCCGGGGCTTTTGCGTAAAACTTTCTGCGCGGAGAAAATAAGTCACACCCGGTTTGATGATGCCAGCTTGAATGCCGGCGCGCGCACGGAGGCTCGAAGTGGGGTTTCATCAACATTCCTTGTCTCCGTGTCCAGCGCCGCTGTCTGTGCTCAAGCGGACATTGCACTGCAGGAACGCTGCGCGGCGGGAGGCCACGCGGACGCGATGGGCTCGCGCGAGGGGCGCCGCAGCCGCCGCCGAGGAGAGGAAAGCCCGCGGCGCGGGAAGGAACCAAATCAGACGCCAGGGCGGTCGAAGGCCACCCGGAGCCGCAGCCGCGACAGGCGCGAGGAGGCTCGCGGGAGACCGCTGGGCGCGAAGAGGCCGGCGGAGCCAACGGAGCTGGCGGAGCCAGCGAGGGTCGAGCGGAGGGCGACGCCTCGATCCGAAGCGCACAGGCTGCGGAGACGGCGGTGGCCCAGTGTGCTTCACCAGGCGCCACCTCGGAGGTGACGGGGGGAGCGTCAACGAGTGCCCCTCGGAGCACGCGGCGCTGAAGTTGCCCGACCAGTTCATGGTCTTCGCGCCGATGGAGGTGGACAAGTTGTCGAACTTGGATTGGAATTTGTGGTTGTCCAACTTCTTCCGGGTTGCATGCCCAGGGGCGCTCGTGCCCGGCAAGTTCAGCGTCGAGGAGTTGGCTCATTGCTGGAACAACGTGCTCCATCAAGACGGTAGGATGTACATGCGCTGGGCGTTGGCAGAACACCTACTTAAAACGTACCCGCTCGCGGCAACGTATTGGCAGGCTGCGACGCAGCGGAGGCTGATGACCAGCACCCGGCCGCCTGCTGCGGGCGGAGGGAACGCGGGCCCTGAAGATTCATATTCGGAGGGCTCCGACTCCAGCTCGGATATGGAGGGCGACCCGCCAGAGGTCGGCGCGGAAGCGCGGGCCGGCGTCGAGGCTGATCGCAACGAAAGGTCCCGCTCGGCGCGGCGCGCCAAGGAGGAAAAGGAGTCGGAGGACGACGACCCGTCGCCAGGCCGACGCACTCGCCGACCCCCTACGGACCGCAGCCCATTGCCGGAGACGCGCGGCGAGGAGCGCAAGGGTGGAAAAGGTTCCAAGGGAGAGAAAGGCAAGAAGGGCAAAGGTGAGAAGGGCTCGAAGGGTGAGAAGAGCAAGGGCTACAAGGGCGGCAAGGCCAAGAAGGGTAAGGGACAAGTCCCGCCGCCGGGGTCGATCCGCAGCGAGATCCTGAAGCCGGACGTCTGCCGGTTCTGCTTCAAGCAGGGCCATTGGGGCAACGAGTGCCCAGCATGCTACCAGGACGGCGCGCCCAAGGAGCACTGAGGGCGCTCGCCAAGCGGGGCCGGACCGTTTTTGGTCCTCAGGGTCTGGCCTCGGACTAGCGGCGGTGCCGCTGCGCGAGCGGCGCTCGCAGAGACGCGGACGCATCAAAGGCGCGTCGGTGGCCATTTTGGTTTGCAGTGAGCCCGGTCGACGGTGTCGGCCGGGCGAGGTACCCGCAGGGCTCTGGAGGGAGCTGCGGAGGTAGCAGTGTTGAAGTTGTCTCTTGCGATGCTCCTCCGGAGCCTTTTCGGCTCTGGCGGCCCCGACGAGAGGGCGGAGGGGCTGCTTGGGGCATTAGTCGGGCAGGTGCGCAGCTACCGCTTGCCTGGGCCGCTTGTGAGGAAAAAGTCTCTTCACTTCAATATAGCCGTTCGCGCTGTTTGAGCAAGGGAAAAAGAGCTATGATGGCGGTACATCGGTCTCGACCGCCGAAGGGCAGCCGTTGAGCAATATTTTGAAGCGATTTAGTCAGTGGCGACAAGAGGGGCTTCAGCAGGCCTCCGACAAAAAAATCTCCACTGGCATCGTCAGGAGAACAATCACCACTGTTGCCCATTGCTCGGCCCCTCCACCCCCCCAACCTCCTTATCACCCGTAGGGTGGTCGTATAGGTATTTCCATATATAGAAAGACGTTCAGGACATGCGCTAATACGTCGGGCTTCATGTCTCCCGACCGGTGCTATGTGCGAAACTTTTGTGAACCCTAAGGGCTCAAGCTGCCCCACTAATGGCTCAAGATGGCCCGCAGACGGATAACATGCACGGAACATGCGTGCGCACACAAATATATATATATATATATATATATATATATATATACATGTATATATATGTCAGCAGCTATAGTGGATGCCTGTGCTGCGCTATGCTATGCTCTCCTCTGCTATGCTATGCTATGTTAGGCTATGCTATGCTATGCTATGCTGCGCAATGCTATGTTGGGCCAGGCTCGGCTAGGCTCGGCTAGGCAGTGTGCTATGCTGCGCTATGCTATGCTGCGCTGTGCTATGCGTTGCTATGCTATGTTTTGCTCTGCTATGCTATGCTATGCTATGATTTTGTTTTGCCTTCGCTTTTGCCTTCGCTGTTGCCTTTGCTTCTGCTTTTGTTCGGCACCCAGGGAGCGCAACTGGGGGAACCGCGCGTTTGCTTTTACCTTTGCTGTTGCTTCTGCTTGGCTCCCAGGGGACAGGGGGACCGCCCGGGGCGGTTTGCACTGCCGGGCCCTTGTAAGCCAAGCGAGTAAGAACCCTTCTAGGCAGAGCCTAGGTAGGGACAAACTCGGAGGTCCGCGCGGATTTCTCGGATCGGCGCTGGGGCCCCCCGGCGGCGCCTCTGGCGCCGCCCCTGGCGCCGGAGGCGCGCCAGGGAGGGGGGTCCAGCGCCGATCCGAAAAGTCCGCGCGGACCTCCGAGTTTATGTTTATGCCACTTGTTGTTTCCCTGTTTGCATCGCTCGGACGTGTTTATTTTCTTCTCGGCGAGGGTCCTGGAGGAGTATCCTGGATCATCGTGCGAGCAACAACACGCACGAAACCGAAAAATGCACAGGGAATGGACGTTCGAGCGATGGCCAGGGGGGGGGCCCGCATGGGGGGTGAAGGACAGGGGCCTTCAAGGCCCTTGAGAGGTCCCTTTTGGGCCCAAAGAGGGATGGCCCTTTGGGGCCTTTTCCTCACCCCCCATGAGGATCACCCCGCATTGCCGCCCGCCCGAAGGAGGGTGACGGCCTCACGCCGCTGGTGCTGCCTACGTTCGGCAGCGAGGGCGTGCAGGTGCCGCTGCGGCACCGGCAGCGTGGCGAGGAGGTCAGAACGGGGAAAGGGGGTACCCATACTGTTACGCCTTTCCATCGTGTTGGCCTTCTTGGGCCTCCTGAGAGAACCTCGTCGCCACGGCTGGATTCTTTCCGAAATTCTGATCAGAACGCACCCTGGGAGAGGCCCGGGAAGTAGCGGTATCGGTATTTCGTTGTTTCCCCTGGAGGGAGCTTCGCGGCAGGCGGAGCTGTCCTGGTGGATGAAGATCCGGCTCTGGGGAATGACGCAGTACAGGCGGATCGTCTACCTGGACGCGGACGTGCTGGTGCAGCGGCCCGTCGACGAGCTGTTCGCTCTGCCGGACGAGGTCAGCTTCGCAGCCCCAGTGCACAGCAGCGCTCGCGGGGCGCAGGTCTCGGTCGGCGTGATGTCGCTCCGGCCCGACAGGGCGGTCTACGCTGCGTTCGTGGCCTACCTGGAGCGCACCGCGCCCGCACTGCAGACGAAGGTGCGCTCGCTGGACCAGCTCCTCCAGCACACCTTCTTGGCGAGCCACTTCCAGTGGATGGGGCACTCGAAGAACAAGAAAAACTGCACGCACACAAATACACACGCACAACACAACGCAACACACACACAACACACACACACAACACACACAACACACACAACACACAACGCACACAACACAACACACAACACACACAACACACACAACACACACACACAACACACACACACGCACACACACACACACACACACACACACACGGTCCGTGCCGATTTCTTGGATCTGCGCTGGACCCCTGGCGCGCTCCGTGCGCCAGGGAGGGGGTCGAGCGCAGATCCAAGACAGCTGCGCGGACCTTCGAAAGTTTACAATGGAGACCCATGCCAAGAAACACCCTGCTTGCCTCCAGGGGCCAAAAACATGAATCGCCGTCCTGTGATCTCAGGGTTGGGCTTCTGGAAAGTTTCTTGCGGTCGTGCCCCTACCGTACGCTGTTCTTCTTCCTCCAGGTACGCGTGGTGGGACGCCGCCACGGGGGCCTTCGCGGGCTGCGACCCAGAGGCCCCCGCCGCGCTTTTCCGCAGCGAGGACCTGCGCGTGGGCGCTGGGGAGGTCATGGAGGATAACAGAACCCCTTGCTTCAATGTCACGAAGCCTCGCTGAGGTGCCCGTCTTTGCATCAGGGATCACATGTGTGGGCGGTTTGGTTTGATACGCCTGCGGGAAAAAAAACATCTCTGATGTTTTTTGGCCCGCCTAACCTCGGTCCCCTCCTGAAGGGTTGCGGGTTCTTTGCGGGCTCATCCGGAGGGGGCAGCGCCCGCGCCGCTGGGCACGGTGTGCGTGCTCCCGCCGCGCTTCGACTTCTGCGTGACCTACCCCGGCCCCCAGGGGGTTGCCAAAGGTGCCCCTGGCCCAGGGTGCCCCCAGCTTTTCGCTCCATTCTGGAGCTCCCGGGGCCCTCTCGGCCTCGTGAGGGGTGCTCTGGAGGCCCTGGTGTCCTCCTGGGAAATCCTGGGGGCGCCTTGGGCCAGGAGCACTTCCAGCAACACCCGAGGCTTGGTCGACGCGGAGGGCAGCGAGGAGAGCCAGCACGAGCTGGCCGCCCAGTTCGCGGAGCCCCTCGGCAGCGACGTGGCGGCAGGCACGGGGCTGTGTTCGAATAAGTAAGAACGGCGTAGGCAAAAAAAATCGGAGCTCCGCTCGGATTTCTTGGATCGGCGCTGGGCCCCCCTGGCTGGGCCCCCCTGGCGGCGCCTCTGGCGCCGCCCCTCGCGCGCTCCGCGCGCCAGGGTAGAGGGGTACAACGCCAATCCAAGGAATCCGCGCGGACCTCCGAAAGTTCATGTTTATGCCGTTGCTCGTTCCTCTGAGGCATGGAGTGGCACGACGGACTGGAGGCCAACGTGCTGCACTGGACTGGGCCGCGCCGGAAGCCCTGGTTGCATTGGCTGCCGCTGGCGCGAACGCCCTTCGACGACCTCTGGTGGGACGCCCACGAGCAGCTGTGCCGACCTGGTGCCGGCGGCGTGCAGGACGAGGGCGGCGCTGCGGTTGGAGGGGGGTCCCAGGCGGCCCAGATGCCCTGCCAAATCGACTGCCGCGCCGTGGCGCCAGCGGGTACCCCAAAAAATCCGCGCGGCCTTGTCTTGGCTCCTCCAGCTGCGGTTCCCAAGAGCTCGTGGTTCCGGGGCGTGCTGGCTTGCCCTCGGCTGCGCAGCGAAGGCGAGCGTTTGCCTCCCATACTGGGGCTTATGCATATTCATCGCCCGGGGAACCCATAGCTTGAATAGAGGGGTGCGTGCACATAGCTATCTTTTGGGGACTCGTGAATATCGACGTGTTTTAAATAGGGTTTCGTCCGCAACCGTCCTCTCTCAAGGCTGCTGCTTCGGGGAGCAGATGCCGCCCGCTCTCCCCAGCCCCGCGGGCTCGCTCAGAGTGCGGCTGGCCCACCTGGCGCTGGCGGCGCTGGTGGCGGCGGCTGCGGGCGGCCTCTGGGGACTGGAGCTAGCCGTGGGCGAGTCGTCCCACGTCGCCCCCGCCGCGGCGGCGGCTCCGCCCGGCCCGACCTGCCCGGCGCCGCTGGAGTGGGGCTGCCCTGAGTGCCCCGAGGTGCCCGCCTGCCCACAGTGCCCGAGCTGCCCGGAGCCTCCGGCGGCCGAGTCGGGCGTGCTGGCGCAGGTGGGCGTGCACCTGTTAGCAGGTGGGTTCTGGCGCGCGGCGGCCTGGGTGCAGGAGCGGGCCAGGAGGCCGACGACGAGGCGCCGGGCCAGCGGAGCTCGCACACATCGCAATGTCCCTGCTGATGTTCGAGGAGGGCGGGGCGTGGTGTAGTGACCTGAAGGCCAGGCAGACGATCGGGGTGCAGTCTCGAGGCGACGGAGTTGACCATGAGCGGCTGTTGCTGCACCCGTGCTCGGCGAACAGGGATCGCTGGTACATAATCGCCCCGACTTTGATGAGTACGTTGAGGCCGTGACGATTGGGCGACATCGTCAAGACGTACCCCCTCCCCGACGACCGCTCCAAACCCAGCTTGTTCACGAGGAAATTGTATCGGTTCCGCGTCTACCCCAGCCATGACGAGATGGTGGACATGCTCAAGCGGGGTTACCGCACTGCCGTGGAGGAGTGCGAGGGGGGCGTCCCGCCTGCCAGCGACGGGAGAGAAGGTGGCCATCGGCGAGCTGGCGCCTGGCTGGCCGGCGCCTGCTCGCCGCGCGCGCGGGAAGCAGGGCGCGGCGGGCGGCGGCGACGGCTCGGCTCCACCCCTGGCCGCACCGCCTGACGGCGGGGCGGGTGGCCAGCTCGACGCCGAGCACCCGCTGGCTGGCTTCGGCTGGTACGCGATGGGCCACGGCGGCGAGCTCTCTCCCAGCGACGATGTCGATGTGCGCGGACGACGCGGCGCGCGTGCTGGGCCCAACGACCTGCTCGTGCTTGATGGCCTCTGCTCTGTCCACTGCTGGTTAGCGAAGCCCGGGAGTGTCCTCGACCTCGTCAGGAGCTAGCGTCGCCGATGGACGGCTGGCGCTGAACATGCTGTGGGCGGCACCGACACTCCGCCTGCGACCGCTGCTCTTGCTGCCGTCGCCCGGGGGACCGCCACGCCCAAGGTCGAGCGGGGGCGGCAGGGACCGTCGGACGAGCCGTTTCGGGAGGCGCCGGGCCTGGAGACTGACGAGGCGACCGCGAAGAAGGACAGCGAGCCCGCCGCGGACATCCGCACCGTATGGGTCGACTACGACAATGGGTGAGAGATGCAAGTGGTGGCGGGACGTGACTCGGGAGAGCTCGCAGGATACCCTCCCCGACACGCCCCTGGAGGGGCCCGGCGCGACGCATTTCCTGGCCGAGCACTTCGACCGTTACGGTGGCGACCCTAGGCAGTGGTTCCTCACGTGGCTGAGGGGGCGCACGATCGACGGGCCCGATCGGACGTACCACGACATGACAGGTCTTGTGAGATGCCTTCTATTTCGCCGGGGTGTACGACCAGCTCAACGTCGGCGCCCTCGCTTCGCTGGAGACGCTCTGCCGCGGGATCCAGACTATCATCGATACCAACGCGAACCCCCAGGAGGTCACTTGGGAGCACGCGAAGCTGTGCATGTGCATGGGCACGCCCGACAACCCAGTCAGCCTCGCCCTCCAGTCTCTCGCGACCCGACGGGCCAAGGATCGGGCCGACGTCATCGCGGCATTCGGCCAGGGCGGCGGCGGCCGCGGTCCTCGCGGCAGTCCCACTACGGCCGCGGACGGCGCCAAGGCGGGCGACTTTGCCAGCGGCAGCGGGGGCTCAGGCGGACGCGGAGGAGAACGCGGCGGCGGCGGGCTCGATGGCGGCGGCCAGGGCCGACGCAGACTTGCGCACGCTGCCGCCTCCCCGCCGTGCTGGTGGCCGACCGACGAGGGGCTTCTTCCCCTTGCCTGCCCCCGCGGCGCCGTCGGGCCCTGCCACTCGACTCGTTCGGCAAAGAAGGCGCGGGGTCGGGCCGAGCGTCGCGCGAAGATGGTGCAGGAGGCGGTCGGCGGACTGAGCTGGCTCGGTGGCTGCAATACCTGGGGCCTTGCCTCTGATCTGGTGGCATTTTGACGCCCGAGGCGTTGGCCCGCGTGGAAGGCCTGGTCAAAGACCGGGGGCCGATGCCGGCGGCCCCCTCGGGGCGGGGGGGCCTTAAGAGGCCCCGTGCGCGGCTGGTCCCTGTGCGAGCTGGAGACCGGCTTCGCGAACCTCGCGGCCTTCGACACTGGCTTCGCGCCCCTGCCGGGCTACGCCTCCGGCGCCCCCCGATCGCGTCGCTGCTGGATGCGGAGGTCTCTCGCTAACTAGTTGGATGCCCACCATGAGCTGATGCTGCGACCTGGGGCTGAGATGGAGGACGTTGAGTTTGAGACGCGGCGGATCGCGCCATGCGGCGACAGGAAGCTGCTGTTTAACAAGAAGGCGTAGCACGTTTTCGTGAGGAGGCTCTGCGCCTTGGGCATCGCCCCCGTGACTCATCCGTCAACCCTCCACCCCCCCGGCCGGATTTCTTTTCTTCTTTCCGCGGGGGGTCAACCTTCGCGGCGACCCGTTAAACCCGGGACCCCTGGCGGCGCATGGATTTCTTTCCTTCTTCCCCGCGCGCGTTGCCGTTGGAACCCCTGAACCCCTCCGACTACCGTACAACTCGTACTTGAGTACAACTGGTACTATCATGTCCTATCGCGCAGTTGTTCCTAGAGAGCACGTTGTCCTGCCGTGCAAATATTCGAGTGCAGCTGGTATCATATAACAGCTGGACTCTCACTTACAGTCTCGGCTCTGACGCTTTTCTTCCTCTGGTTGCGCTTGGGGGGGTGGGACCCCTCGCGCGGGCACCCCCGCGGCTGGGAGTTCATTCCTTTTCCGGAATTTGAGGGGGGGGTAACCCCCGTGCTCGAATCCCATCGCCAGGTTTTTTTTCTTTCCTCCGCGGAAAGCGGACCCCCTGGGTTCTTCGGCGCGCCCCATTTTTTTTTCTTTCCGGTTGGGCTTCCATGGGTCTTAGGTTGGAGTCACCCGGGTGATCCTTGGGCGCGCTTGGCGCCGCGCTCCAGCCGCGGGGGGGGATCGGCATCCCCCTCGTTTGGAAGAGCAACAAGACGCGGCTCAGGCTGATCATGGACGCCAGGAGGAGCAATTGCTGGTTCCGCTCCCCGCCAGGCGCCGGGGAGGCCTTCGCGAACGTTGGGATCGGCGACGGCGGCCTCGAGGGCCTACAGGGCCTGGAGCTCTACCTGGGCATGGCGGACGTGGAGGACTGCTTCCACCGCCTCGAGGCCCCTGCGTGGCTCGGGCCCTTCTTCGCCTGCCCGGAGGTGCCCGCGCGGGCGCCGGGGCTGGCCGAGATGGAAGGAGTCCAGCCTAGTCCCGCCGGCGCGGTGCGGCCCGCGTAGGCCCCCAGGAGCACGGGCTTCGCGTGGTCGCTGTTTTTCGCTTAGAATCAGGACGGGAAAAAACACACAGACACAAGTAATCGTCGATCCCCAAGAAAATATGGGAAAATATTGGAATTGGGCGGAAAGACAAAAACCCATATTATCCCGGCAAAGCAACCTAACAGCGATGTGTAGAAGCATATCTGGAAGCATTCTCCTTAATATTCAGATCAGAATCCAGTTGTAGAATTCTGCTGTTCTCACAGTCGCAGTCGCATTCGCGATGACAGTCGCAGTGGCAACGGCATTCGCAATCACAGCCTCAGCCTCAGCCTGCCTCAGTATCAGCCTGCCTCACTCTCAGCCTCAGCCTGCCTTCAGCCTCAGCCTCAACATCAGCCTGCTTCAGCCTCAGCCTCAGCCTCAGCCTCGGCCTCAGCTTCAGCCTGCCTCAGCCTCAGCCTGCATCAGCCTCAGCGTCTGCCTCAGCCTGCCTCAGCCTCAGCCTCAGCCTGCCTCAGCCTCAGCCTCAGGCTGCCTCAGCATCAGCCTGCCTCAGCCTCAGCCTCAGCCTGCCTCAGCCTCAGCCTCAGCCTGCCTTCAGCCTCAGCCTCAGCCTCAGCCTCAGCCTCAGCCCCAGCCCCAGCCCCAGCCTCAGCCTCAGCCTCAGCCTGCCTCAGCGTCTGCCTCAGCCTCAGTCTGCCTTCAGCCTCGGCCTCAGCCTCAGCCTGCCTCAGCCTCAGCTTGCCTCAGCCTCAGCCTCAGCGCCTCAGCCTGCCTCAGCCTCAGCCTCAGCCTGCCTCAGCCTCAGCGTCAGCCTCAGCGTCAGTGTTTGAATTCCTCCGGGCATTCAAAATGTGGCCCGGGAATGGAGTTCTGGGAAGTCGAAGAGCACGAAGTGGCTTACAGTTGGCTCCGGGCATTCAAAATGTGGCCCGGGAATGGAGTTCTGGGAAGTCGAAGAGCACGAAGTGGCCTACAGTTGGCTCCGGGCATTCAAAATGTGGCCCGGGAATGGAGTTCTGGGAAGTCGAAGACCACGAAGTGGCCTACAGTTGGCTCCGGGCATGCAAAATGTGGCCCGGGAATGGAGTTTTGGGAACTCGAAGACCACGAAGTGGCTTACAGTTGGTTCCGGGCATCCAAAATGTACGCCGGGAATGGAGTTGTAGCAGCGCCAAGAGCGATTTTGCGAGGATGTCCAATGCGATTTGGGCTTTGGCGGCAGCCGCCCCGGGTCCCGCCCCGACCCCCCTGAGGAGTCATGATGCTCTCTTTTGACCCCATTAGAAACCTATCAGTCTTCGCTGTTAGGTAAAAATACATCAAAATATTGCGAATCTGTTTATTTGTGTGTATTTATTTGTGTGTCTTTGGGCCCCTTGACAGAAGGCCGACGAGCGGTTGGCCGCGAGCGCGCTCGGCCGCGGCGGGTCGGAGCTCCTGCGCGACCGATCGCCCCCCCTGGTGCTCTCCGACGCCGTCCTCGACGCTGCGCGCGCGCGTGGATAGTTTGGGCGTCTTCTCGCGGACAAGGGAGGCAGCTGGGGGGCCGCCCGAGAGCGGGGGGTCGGGGGTGGACTTTGCGGAGCGCGGGCGGGAGCTGCACGGGGGCGAGGCGTTGCGCGAGGACATCCGCGCACTGCGGCGTCGGCTTGACGGGGGTCGGCAGCGCGTGGCCACCGCGCCCGAGCGATTTTGGAAGATTTGGGCTGCGAGCGAAGACATGCTCCGTCACGGCAGATGTTCGGGTTGGGCCCTCGAATGCTGGCTCGGCCATGCTACTTTCGTGAGTCTGATTCAGGGGGGGCCCCTTTCCGTCTTCCACACTCGCCATCGGTTCTGTCGCACCTGTTACACAGATGTCGCCGTCTTGTGGCCCTCGGTCCGCGGTGCGATCCGCGCGTGGAAGGGGCTGCTGGAGTTCCTGGTCCAGGTCTGGGGGCGGTGCTGGCGTGGGCCTGCGATCCAGAATGACGCTCGTGAGCAGGGATATGGAGTGCGCGCCTCTTCTTGGACCCGACCTCAGGTCTCTTCGGTTGGCCGCGCTTTTGAGGGGAGCCGGTTTCAGCTCACGGGCCACAGCGCCCGCGAGCTGGCCCTGAGCGCGGCCGGCCTGGCCAGGGGCCCTCGGTCCGACGTCTGGGAATATCCGAGTGGCGAAGCCGACGAGTTCGTTGCGGTGCGCGATTTTACCGAGGTTCCTGCGGGGCTCCTTAACGAAAGCCTCTGGATCCCTCGCGTGCGGGGCGCCTGGGAGTTATCTGAAAGCATCCTGATCCTCGAGGCTCGAGCCTTGGGTCTAGGGGTTCGACGCTTAGCCCTGGACTCCCCTGGCTGCCACTGTAGGGCCCCGACGCTAAGCGATAACGCGAGCATCGCGCCTGCCTTTGCGAGGTCCCGCTCGCGCGAGCGTCGCCTCCCCATTCACGTCCGACGGTCTGTGGCCTACAGCCTGGCGCGCAACATTGCTTTCTATTACGGGTGGGCCCTTAGTGAGTTAAATTATGCGGACGAGCCCTCGCGTCGACGCGACCCAGATTTTCAGGAGAGGCCGAATGCCTGCTACCCCCGCCCCGTTCCTCCGCACTCAGCTTGGCTCAAGCTTGATATATCGCGTGCCGTCGACCCAGAACGCCCGACGGACTCGGGCCCTAGCTCGACCGACCTCTCGCGATGGACCGAGCCCGAAGCGCCGGAGAGGGCTGGCGGCGTCTCTGGACCATGGGGCGGGGACTTCGGTCCGCGGGCAGGCTGCGCTGGAGCGGAGCACGAGGGCGCTGGCCCGGACGGGCGCCGCAGGAGCGCGGGCGGGGCCGCGGCCAGCGCCGCGGGACACGGCCGCAGTCAGCTCGAGCGGAAGCTCCTCGTCCGAGCCCAAGCCCAGCGCCGTCGGCGGAAGGGCCCGCGTGCTGGCGCGGAGGTCCCGGCAGCGGTTGGCGAAGCACTGGGGCATCGAGAGGGGTGGCCTCCGTCTGCTGGAGGCGAGGCGCTTCCGGGACTTCGAGGCCGTCGCCAAGGAGCTCGACCCAGCGGTCGCGGGCGACGACCTGGACGGCTGGCTCGCGAAGTTCTTCAACGACAGCTGCCTCCAGAGGCGGCAGCCGGGCCTGCGGGGGGAAGGTGCCGGCGGCCTTCGCGGGCCGCCGCCCGACCTCCGGGTTTAGGCTGGCACGCGGTGGGCGCCTCGGGCCCGGCGCTGCCTTCGCGGGGGGCGCCGCCTTGCACCCGGTCGCTCGAGGCGCCCCCTGCCTCGGGCAGCGTGGGGGGCGATGGCCGCCGACATCTGCCCGCGGGGGCGCGGGCCGACGGCCGCGGCGATCCTGCCGGGCGCGGGGGCCTACCTCAGACCGCGCGAGCTGACGGGGGCGCGGCCCGGGGACCTGGCCCCCCCCCCCGCGCGAGGCGCGTCGGGCCATCAGTCTCAAATCATCTGTCCGCGGACGAGAGGCATGGCCACCGACAGGGGCGATGGGCGACGGCGTGATCCTGGACTGCAAGTGGCAGCATTGGAGGACGCCGCTCCAGGGGTCCTGGCGGGGTCTTGTCGCGGGAGGCCAGTCTGGGCGTTCGCGCGCCCCGAGCTGGTGGGGCAGTTCAAGGAGACCTGCGGCCAGCTCAACATCCCCGCGGTGCCGTGCATGATGAGACGCAGCGGGCCCGGCATCGACAGGGCCCAGCAGTTTCGGCCACTAGGCGAGGCGCGAAAGAGAGGGCGCCGGGCGCGCCACAAGTCGGTGGTCAGGTACGAGCAGGCGGCGAGGCTCAGCGAGGCGCGGCACGACCTGCCGCTGGCGACCCAGAACCGGTGCGAGGTGCTCGACGCACGCCTCGCGGAGCTGCAGCTGCGGGGCGCGGGCCGTGCAGCTGGCGGCGCGGGGCGGCTCTGAAGGGCCAATGCCTCGGCAATTTCTTCTCGGGCGACGGCGGGGTCGCGCGCGCCTGCCGGCGCCTCGGCGCTCCCGCGCGGACTTGGGAGGTCCGGGAAGGCCCCGCAGGCGACCTCGCCCACCAGCCCGTGTTTCGTTGCATCCGCCAGGATGTCAGTGCAGGCAGACTCCTTGGCTCCATGTTTGCGCCTCCTTGCCAAACTTTTCACGGTCGCCAGAGACCGCGCTGCCGCCATCCGCGCCCCCGCTTTTCCTTGGGGCGCCCCGGCGTGGCAGCGTAGCTCGCGAGGCGCTGAGAAACTGCGGGCAGGGAACGCTTGTCTGACGCCCTGCCTCAATCTTATAAGATGCATGCGCGCTGGGAAGGTACCGTGGATCCTTGAGAATCCGAATTCGTTGAAGACGTGGTCAGTGCCCGAAGTGCAGGCCGTGATGGCCTGGGAGGGGGCCAGCAAAGTTGCGAATGATTTCTGCCAAACTCCCGAGGGACCGAGGGACCCACTGGCCTTCGGCCCCGAGGGACCCACTGGCCTTCGGCCGTGGGAGGAAGCGGGAGGAGGAACCGAAGCGAACCCCGAGGGACCCACTGGGAGGAAGCGAACCCCGAGGGACCGAAGGAAGGAAGCGGGAGGAAGCGAACCCCGAGGGACTCCCCGGGAGGAAGCGAACCCCGAGGAAGCGAGCCCCGAGGGACTCTGCGGGAGGAAGCGAACCCCGAGGGACCCGCTGGCCTTCGGCCGTGGGTGCACCGGCAAACACAGTCTCTGCAGCGTCACAGGCCGTCGGCACCACCAGCTAGAGGGGCCAACAGTGACGCGGAGAGCCCAGCCTTGCCCACAGCAGTTGCGCAGGATGTTTGTTCACGCTCTGTTATATCGAGCGCGGGACGTACAGATCAACTGTTCGGACCTTGCTCTCGCGACCTTCCATCCCTCGCCTCCGCCTGCCCCTGTCGATCCATATTAGTTCGAGAAGTTTCATTTCCCGACGTTTTCGGGGCTTGTTACTGCTTGGTCCGGGGGCGCTGGCTCTTTCATAGCCCCATTGGCAGCCGGGTCGCTGCCGCAAAGACAGGCACGGCTTCTACGAGACGTATCTCATCCGCTGGAAAACGAGGCCCCCTAAAAAGAGGGGCGCGTGCAGATGGCTATCTTTTGGGGACTCGTGAATATCGACGCGCTTTCAAGAGGGGTTTGTCCGCAACCGTCCTCTCTCAAGCCTGCTGCCTCGGTCCGCCCATCCCACGACCAGGATTTTGACTGCTTGGTCCAAGGGTGCTGGCCCATAACCCATAATCCCATTGGCGGGTCGCCGCCGCCAAGATGCGTTTTTTTATATATATATATATATATATATATAGATACGTAGCTTACCCGCTGAAAAACGAGGGCCTTTAGATCGGAGGTTGGGCGGTGAGATCGCGGTGGAACGGAGACCCCCGACCGGGACATCGTTTCGTTTCGTCCGTGTCGTGCGGGCGAGGCGAAGCTGCGCGGACGCGCGAGAGGAAGGAACCCGTCGCTGCCAGGTCGGAGCCAAGACAAATTATTAATGCCCCTCCCGCCAGTCCAGCGTCGGCCCCGGGGTGCCCCGCGGTGTCCCGCGGTGTCCCGTGGTGTCCCGCGGTGTCCGCCGCTGCTCGGGGGAAGTCAAGACAAATGATCCTCCCCCTCCCGCCCGTCCGGCGGTGGTTCGCGGTGTCCCCGCGGTGTCCCGTGGTGTCCCGTGGTGTCCGCCGCTGCTAGGGCGAAGTCAGGACAAATGATCATTCCCCCCCCCCGCCCGTTCGTCCGTTCGTCCGGCGGTGGTTAGCGGTGTCCCGCGGTGTCCCGTGGTGTCCCGTGGTGTCCCGCTGAGTGAGATCAATAGTGAGATCGATAGTGATATTGATAGTGATATCGATACTGAGATTGATGTGGTGCCCCGGGGACCCCGCGGTGACCCCAAAAGTGAGATTGATAGTGACATCGACAGGTGTCTCGTGGTGTCCCGTGGTGTTTCGTTGGGTGAGATCAATAGTGGGATCGATAGTGAGATCGATACTAGATCGATGTGGTGCCCCGACGTGTCCCGTGGTGTCCCAACAAGTGAATCGATAGTGAGATCGACAGGTGTCCCGTGGTGTCCAGTGATGTCTCCCGTTAAATGAAATCGATAGTGGGATCGATAGTGGGATCGATCGTGCGACCGATGTGGTGTCCCGAGGTGTCCCGTGGTGTGCCGTGGTGTCGTATGGTGTCCCATTGAGTGATATCGATAGTGAAATCGATAGTGAGACCAATCGTGAGATCGAGAGGTGTCCCGCGATGTCCCGTGGTGTCCCGTGGTGGCCCGTGGTGTCCCGTGGTGTCCCGCTGAGTGAGATCAATAGTGAGATCGACAAGTGTCCCGGGGTGTCCCGTGGTGTCCCGCTGAGTGAGATCGATACTGAGATCGATTGAGTCAGATGTTGGTTTCCCCCCCCCCTCTCCCCCCCCCACGACCTCCTTATCACCCGAATGGTGGTCGTATAGGTATCTGCATATTCTGGGCCAGATTCAAGGAGCAGGGAGCCCTGACCAGACCAAGAGGGAGGGGCCCCCCCCCGGCTTTGGCTCGGGATCTCCCCCCGTGGGGAAGCCCCCCAGCCGAGGCCAGGTCGCCCCCGAGCCTCCCTGGTCTGGTCAGGGCCGTCCTGCTCCTGGCTCCCGGTTAGGCTCTGTGCCCCCGGGCGCGGGAGGAGGAGGAGGAGGAGGAGGAGGAGGAGGAGGAGGAGGAGGAGGAGGAGGAGGAGGAGGAGGCACTCGCCCTTCGCACCGCGTGGCCTGGGTCGGGCCCTTCTCCAGGGCGGCGGCGCGGAGACGCGAAGAGGACCTCGCGTCGCGCGTCGCGGGGCGCGTGGCCTCGGGAAAAAAAAGGGCGAGCACTCGTGCCACACTCATCGGTCAACGCCTCCCCATTCTCCAATGTTCGAGGTTGGCGGTGGGTCTGGTGAGTTGCACTTCGACCTCGGTCTCCTCCGCGCGTGCCAACTTTGAGTTTCGAAAGGAGGAAGGGTGTCCACTATGTTTGGCCCTCTGCCGCTCTACCGCAGCTACTTCAAAGGACAAACAATGCCTGGGGGGCCTGCATCTCTGCCGCCCACGAGAGGGCCCTGGCAGTCGGAGCGAGGCAGTTTGAAGGCAGACGTCTAATCTATGTTGGAGGTTGGCGGCACGCTAGCTCGGGCAAGCAGCTCCCCGCGAGATCCGCAGCTGCTCGGGCGGCGCTTCCCCCACCGCCAATGCGTTGACCTCCTCGACGCTCAGTTTCTTGCCTTGCTGTTCTGGCGAGGCTGTCAGCTGTTACAGAAGCTGACATACGATGCGCGACCGTCCCAGACCGCCCGGTGCGGCATAAACAGAAGTTTTCGGAGCTCCGCGCGGATTTCCTGGATCGTCGCTGAGTCCTCCTCCTTGGCGCGCGGAGCGCGCGTGCCAGGGGCGGCACCGGAGGCGCCACCATGGGGGCACCATGGGGGTACTCAGCGCCGACCCCAGAATTCCGTTCGAAGTTTCCTCCCTTTCTCATCGCGGTGCCCGACGTGCGAAGTTGGGTGACCTTGAGATCTGAAGCGCAAGATCGCGAGGAATCGCGACCGGAGCCCTGGACCCCCTCTGGCGGCAGTTCTCGGAGCCCTGGGCACCTTCTGGCGGCAGTTTCCGAGCTGGATCGTCCTGTGCTGGCCCTGGGGCCCCGCAACCGGGCGACAACGCCCAGTGTGAAAATTCGAGGGTCCAGCTACTACTTGCTGCTCAAGGGCTCCCACGAGGGCGCGAAGTTATTCGCGCTTCGCGCTTCGCGGTCCTCGTTCCTTCTCCCCCTCCTCCCTCCTCCTCCTCGTCCTCCTTTTCTCCCTTTGGGGGGGCTGCTCCGCGGCGCAGCCCGGCGGCGGCCGCGCCACGCGCGCCGCCCAGGTGGCCGAGTGCCGCGTGCTGGCCTTGGAGGCGGACAGCACGAGGCCCGCGTCGATCAAGATGGCCACGACCAGCGCCGCAGGCCTCGACGACGACGACGACCACGACCACGACCACGACCACGACGACGACGACCACGACGACCACGATGATGATTTTGATGATGACGATGAGGAAGAGGATGAGGAGGACGCTGATGGTGATGATGATGATGATGATGATGATGATCATCATCATCATCATCATCATGAGGAGGAGGAACAAAGGGGGCAATAATGATGCGCTTCTCTATTCTCCTTGCCGCTCGCGCCCGTTCAGGTCCTGCAGCTTCTCGGCCCCAAGCTTGCTCTTCTCGCCCCCCGCTCCCCCCGCCGCGCGCGCGCGCGGCCAGGGCGCCAGGGGGCTTGCGGTTGCCACCGCCGCGCAGTTTCCTCTTCACCTACGCGGCGGTGTTCTACTTGCTGGGCTACGAGCTGCTTTGGGCCACTGCCGCAGGCAGGGGTCCCAACGCTTCCTCCGTGATCTGGCTGGTTCGGGGTCGCTCTTTCACCCCGCCAGTCAGAGCTCGGGTGGGGGTGGGCCGGCTGCCTCCTGTGGGCACCCGGCAGCGGCGAGTGTGCACACTCTCCGCTCGGGCGCCGCTGCCCCCCTGGCAGTGCGCGCCCGTGTCATCTGGGCGTGGCCCCAGCCAGGCCGTCCAGGCAGGCGTCTGACCTGCTCGCGGGTTCCCCCCGCGCCTGCCGCAGCTGCTGCTCGTGTGACGCTGGCTTCTGAGCCCCGTCCCGCAGGCTCGGCGTCCGATGGCGCCTGCCCCCCTTTCGCCGCTACAAAACTCCCCTCCTTCCTCTTGCCTCTTCCCCTTGGACCCCGGAGCGGACGCCCATCTGAGGAGAGGAGTAGGAGGTGGAGTTCCCTCGCATCACGAGGAGGCCGCGCCATCGGCCCGGAAGAAGAGTGCTCGCGCTACGCCCGTTGCCGGCGCCACTCAAGGGTCGAGCCCGCCCGCCGCCGAACGGTCTATTGCTCGCGCCACGAGTGTCGCCGCCGCCTCTCGGAACACCGCCCGCCTGGCAACAGGCGGAGAGGCCACCGGCGCGAAGATAACGGCGTCCAGGACGGAGGAGTCGGAGTCGGTGGACCCTCTCTTTCTCCACTCCCCCTCTACTCCTCCCCCTCCAGTCGCCGCTTCGCCATGGCTCAGCTGCCGTTCGCGGCATCGTTTCCCTCGCGTGGGCAACGACAGGCGCGCGCGCGCCCAGGGCCCTTCGGGCGGATCGGGACCCAGCGGATTTGAGGGGGTTGGCATGCGCCCTTCCAGCGATGCTGCTACGGCCCCGCAGGGGAGGGGTCGTGCCGCCCACTCAACCGTCGGCCTGGCTCACCAGTCTGGCCGCCCGCCGCGAGCAAGTTTTCTGGCCGCCTCGCCCGCTCCCGCGGGTTTTCGGCCCCCTCCAGGGTCGGAGCCGTCGGTTGTCGAAACCAGGCGGGGCGGGAGCTCTGTTCGTTTGGCAATCACCCACGAGCTGTCGCGCGCGGTGCCTCCCCCGCCTACTGTAGCGGCGGACGCTGTGGATTCTGGCGGTTTGGAGGGGGTGGGTATGCGCTCCTCCAGCGATGCTGTTGCGGCCCCGCAGGGAGGGGTTCGTACCGCTCCCCCAGCCGCCACCGCAGTTAACCAGCTTAGCACCCCGCCGCGAGACGGTCCCAAGGCAGCTTTGCCCTCGCTTTCGGGACTCCAGCTCCCTTCAGGGTTGGAGCCGCCGTCACAGACGCGTGCCGAGCGCACAGGGCCACCGCGGAGCAGTCCCAGAGCCGCCTCGCCGACTCGCGCCAGCTTCCGGCCCCCCCCTGGGTTGGAGTCGCCGTTACAGCCGCGTGCTTGGCGGATGGGCCCACCGCCTGGCTTTGATGCACGAACGCCAGCACTGCCGGCGGCAGCACCAACGCCTGCGCTTACGCCGGCACCAGCGCCAGCGCCTCCTCCTGCGCCGAGGCCGGCACCGATGCCTGCGCGAGCGCCAGCACGGACAGCGGCAGCACCGACGCGTGCGCTTACACCAGCACCAGCGCCAGCGCCGCACCGACGTCAGCATCAACGCCAGCACCTGGCGGCGTCAGCACCGACGCTTGCGCTTACGCCGGCACCAGCGCCAGCGCCTACGCCGGCACCGAGGCCAGCGCCGACGCCAGCCCTGACGCCAGCACAGACGGCGGCAGCACCGACGCCTGCGCTTCCGCCGGCACTAGCGCCAGCGATTACGCCAGGGGGCGCTTCGACAGTGTTGCCCTTCCACCCGCCACCTGGGTTTGAGGCGCTGTCGGGCCCTGCGGTCTGGCAGGTGGGGCCATCTCCCTGCCTCGCTAGCCTGGAGGCGGGCGCTCGGGTGCCGCCGCCGCACAACCGTTGCGCGACCGACGCCGCGGTTGGGTTTCCTTTTCCTGACAGCGGAAGTGGGCAGTCGGCGATCCCCTGCCTAGGGGCCTCACCCCTGCCTCCAAGGGAGCCGCTTGCGGTCAGTGCCTCCCGTGCGAGCGCCCACGCCATCTTGCACTCGCTCGGGCTACTCGGGAATCCAACCTCGGCGTCGACGGACCCCGCGTCCCTGCCAGTGTCGGCCCCCTTGTTGTCAGGCGCTACGCGACATGTTTCTGCTGCTGCTGCAGATGGTTTCGGGGTAGCTGGTACCTGCCTGCCGGGCGCCGCTGCTTCGGCGCCACAGAGCACGGGTCGCACCGATCCCTCAGCCCCCGCCGCAGCTCGCGATTTGGGCACGCCGCCGCAAAGCTGTCCTATGGCCACTTCGCCGTGTCTTCCAGGCTTCCTGCCCCCACCAGGGCTGGAGCCGCCGTCACGGCCGTGTGCCTCGCGTCGCTCTGGGGGCGCCCTCCGCGAGGCTAGAGGCGCTCCAGCCCTTCGCCGACGTGGCGGTTCGTCTGGGTTTTCAGCCATTCGGGATCGCGGCCACGTTGGCCAGGGCACCTGCGCCACCTCATCGCGTCCAGCTGCGCGCTGGGACCCCAGCTTCGGCGCTCGTCTCAGCGTGGGGGAAGGCTCGGTCGAACGCCCCTCCGCAGGCGCTCCCGCCTGCCCCTCCCGCGCGCGTCCCCCCGCCACTTGGGCGGGCCGACCCCGCTGCGGTCGCCGGCTCCGCCGAGGGGGTCGCAGGGGACGCACTGGGGCTGCCTGCCGAGGCGCCCCAGAGGGCTCTCGATCTGGCTTTCATCTGCCAGCGGGAGGCGCTGCAGCGGTGCATGTTCATCGTCCAGCTGGTGGGGGGCCGCGGCTACCTCGGAACCGCATGGTTCCTCACGGGGATCAAGCCCCCCCCGTGTCGCGTGACCTGGTGCGGGTGGCGGCAGGCCCTTGCCGCGCCCGTTCCGCCGGCTCCCAGGCCGCCGGCGGAGCCGCCCTCCACGGCGGCGCATCCCACCACAGGGGTGGACGCACGCGAGCTGCGTGCACCGGCCGAGGGTTCACGCAGCGGCGAGTCGCTGTAAGCGACGACGCTGCTGCTGCCAGGCGTGCCTGGGCTGAGCGAGGCCGTGAGAGTAGGCACGCGCTCCTCCAGCGATGCTGTTGCGGCCCCGCAGGGAGGAGTTCGTGCCGCTGTCGCGACTCTCGCTCTACCCCTGGCTCCCCTTCAGGGCCGAGTGGCCATTTTGGCAATTTTCACCGTGCTGCCGAAGCCCCTTCCGACGGGGACTCAGGCGCACCGCCCGTCGCTTCCATCGGTTCTGTTGCCAGTGGGAACCCCCCTCGAGTCGACTTGTCCTCCGGGGTCACTACCGCGCCACCGGCCCCTCGAGTTGACCTGTCCTCAGGGGCCGCTGCCAGTTCCGAAGCCTCTCGCGTTGACTTGTCCGCGGGGGATTCGAGGCCGTCTGCACCTACCGGCACCACGCCTTCCTTTCCCAAGGTCGCGCCCTTTGTCGCTGACCTTTCTGCCTTGCTGCGCCTGTTTCCTGGCGCGAACATCGATATCACCCATTGGGCTGCTGCTTTAGCTCAGGTTGGGATGGGTGCTCGTTGTTCTCTGTCGTCTTTCACCCGCACCTCCCTCAGCGCGTCGGCCCGGGACGGCTCGTACGTGTTGGAGCCGCCTCCCCGCGATCCTTGGCCGTGCCCTCCAGCGCCTTCTCTGCCGCCGCCTCCTGTAACCTTGACGGGTCGCGCGCGCGAGCGGTGGCGCTTGAGGCGCGCAGCGCGCACCTTAGCACAGCACGCCGTTGTTGCGCTAAACTGGCTCACCTTGGGCCATCCCAGCCTCGCTCCCATCGAGGCCCATGTGTGCACAGCGGCCACGCCCTGCCAGGAGGGTACTCGCGACCGCCTCGAGCGGTTGTGTCGGATCGCAGTTCGCCTTGCCCGCGGCGGCAAGAGCGACTTAGGTCGGGCTTTCTCCAAGTTCGACGCCACTGAAGTCTCGCTCCATGGCCTGGCCACCCATGTTGCAGCTATCGAGGCTTCCTTCACCTCCTCTTCCCAGGTGCCCGCCCCCATGCGGCAATGCCCGTCCAGCGCGCCTCCTGTGCCTGGATCGTTGGCTTCAGCGGCAGGCTGGGACTCCACCCAGTCTGAGCCCTTCGACCTCCGAGTCAGGGCGTCCCGCATCAAGTGGGATTATTCTCCGACGTTTGATCCCACTCCCTTCCTCGCCGACGCGCGGGTCCGCAAAGCTTTTCACGACCCCGAAACCATGCGTCTTCCGTCGGCCGAGTGGCCATCGGGCCTCCCGGGGGCCCGCGTCCACATGGACCGTGATCAGCTGTGGGAGCTTCTTCGGAAGTGGGACTCCTGCGGCGCCCTGTACTTGACTCCCACCTCAGACCTGGCTTGGGATGAGGCTTGCGGAGCGTTCAGGGTCCCCAAGGACAGCGAGTACGATCGGCTGATTCTTAATCCCACGGTGGTGAACAGTCGCTGTCAGAGCATTTCTTCCAGCACTCAGCGCCTTGGGCAGGGTTTCCTGCTCTGCCGCATGGGTCTCGCTGCAGGCGAGTGGTTGGTGGTGTCATGCGATGACTTACGCGAGTTCTATTACACCTTTAAGGTGCCACCAGCTCGAGCGAAGCGCAATGCCC